AAAAAAAAAAAATTGTATTGCACACCAAAACGAAAATTAGAGAGAGGAATTGAAGAAGATCATGGAGAGAGACGTTTGACAAAAAAAATAAAAGAGGTGTTTATGAAAAGAAGAGAGAGAAAGACAGTGTTGAATATAGATAAGAACTGTTTCTGTACGTATCGGTCGATCTGAATTTCAAATTTTGTAACTTGGATCAAATTAAATCCTGCCCGTTAAATTATTTTAATGGGAAAACCCTGATTGCAGATAACCCCCCTGGTGTCTGAAAATAGCAGATAACCTTTATATAGTTGTTGGATTAAAAAACACCATCAACTTTGTAATCCAATTTAGCAATGGTTTGTATACCTCGCACGCCTACTATGCATTTTATAATTTATTCTATAATATAAAATAGGATAAATTTTAATAATAATATTCAACGATTTCAAATAAATTCATCCAACGACTACTAATATTTCTATTAAAATTTTACCATACTTTTAAACACGAGTTACCATAATTTAATATAAACAAAGCACGTTAAAAGTTTAAAAATACCCTCAAGTTGTAATATAAATGACTGCTATAGCTACCTAATTTGATGAATCTAGTCTTTTTTTTTTCTTTTTTTTCGATTCACCTCTCTCTTTTTGTTCTTCTCTCGCTTTTCTGTCAGGCACAAAACCAAAATTTTATTTAGAATGGGCTCTTTAATTATAAATTTAATTTTTTTCACTTGAAAAAAGTAATATAACACATTTAAATTTATTATATTATATTTGATACTCAAACATTTATTAAATATAAAATAGTTTAACATCGATATGCATACAATATACAAAACAAATAACGAAAAGAGACTAATTATACTCATTTTTATAACTTAAAAAAATAAATTCGACATATCAAAAACTTGTCTAGACCGTAAAGTATGGTAAAAACATTCATAATTAATTAAATATTTNCAACTGTTTACACAGGAAACATATTTCTTTAAATTACTTCAGTGTGACCACAACCAAATGAAAATATGCACTCAGATATTTTCAAGGATGATAAAAAGGGAGGATCCGTAACCTGGCTCAATTTTTCTTTCACTACAACAAATCCAACAATAAAAGGGTTCTTTATCTTGTTTGATCAACATTACTGAGTGATGCTGGGCCGAGTGGAGGCCCAAAATTTGAGTTTATTTGCATAAAGTGGTTGATGTCAAATTTTAATCACAATCCACGGTTGTTAGCCTGCCAACACAATAGCTTCTTTTTTGTTCTCTTGGTTTTTCTTTTTACTGTTTATTTTAGTGCAGTGGGAAACAACCATCATGTTTCTCATGCATATCTCCACTGAGCTATTAGTCAATGTTCAGCAGCTGCCCATCAAATAGAAAGGACCAATAAATTCAAATAAATCAAAATCAAAATCATGGAGCATAGAATTCCAGACAAACTCGGTGCAGATTATTATACCAACCAATTATCCAAGCTTTCTACCCAATTTATAACAATCTCAAAATAAATCATAAAACATCTAAAAGATGCCTAAAGGAACATACAATTCGCATTCTAAAATTTGCCCAAAATCAGAGCAATGCATTTCGATGAGCATGTCAAATGGGTAACCAATTTCTAGAATTCCCTGTTTGCCCATCACAAAAATCTAAACAAAAAATAAATGATAGAATCCTATGATCGTTTCATTTCTAACTTCATTATCTAATTATCCTGTTCCATAATCTCAACATGTCAGCACACAGTCAATGTAAATAAATTGTCCACCCTATTATAACTTTTAGACAGGCTAAATTGGTCTCCATATTTATACGTATGCCTACAAATACATGAACATATGCCTATATATCCTTGTGGATCATGAAATTCGGAGACTGAATCAACATATTAAACAGCTCAACAATCAAAAACACATCGACCAACCTCAAAAACTATCAGAAATGATTGATCAAACACAAAATAGATAAAAACCTATAATTGATCTTATCACAATTTTTTAAAAAATGGAAAAAATCATTAGATCTGGCAACTCACTGAACCCATTTTCGACGAGGTAATTGAAGGTGTGTCCATCGCAATTGTAGGTGAATTTGTTATTTGTCGCAGGTAGCTTCTGGAGGCATTGAGAAGCGATAGAGGTGAAATTCCCCGTGAACTCCGTGTAATCCGCGAGAATCACCGTCCCACGAGCCACGAAGCTGTAGATCAAGGACTGTTGACTCATTTCTTCTCATCCAACCAAAAACCCTAACCCTAAAACAGAAAAAAAAAAAAAATTGTATTGCACACCAAAACGAAAATTAGAGAGAGCAATTGAAGAAGATCATGGAGAGAGACGTTTGACAAAAAAAATAAAAGAGGTGTTTATGAAAAGAAGAGAGAGAAAGACAGTGTTGAATATAGATAAGAACTGTTTCTGTACGTATCGGTCGATCTGAATTTCAAATTTTGTAACTTGGATCAAATTAAATCCTGCCCGTTAAATTATTTTAATGGGAAAACCCTGATTGCAGATAACCCCCCTGGTGTCTGAAAATAGCAGATAACCTTTATATAGTTGTTGGATTAAAAAACACCATCAACTTTGTAATCCAATTTAGCAATGGTTTGTATACCTCGCACGCCTACTATGCATTTTATAATTTATTCTATAATATAAAATAGGATAAATTTTAATAATAATATTCAACGATTTCAAATAAATTCATCCAACGACTACTAATATTTCTATTAAAATTTTACCATACTTTTAAACACGAGTTACCATAATTTAATATAAACAAAGCACGTTAAAAGTTTAAAAATACCCTCAAGTTGTAATATAAATGACTGCTATAGCTACCTAATTTGATGAATCTAGTCTTTTTTTTTTTTTTTTTTTCGATTCACCTCTCTCTTTTTGTTCTTCTCTCGCTTTTCTGTCAGGCACAAAACCAAAATTTTATTTAGAATGGGCTCTTTAATTATAAATTTAATTTTTTTCACTTGAAAAAAGTAATATAACACATTTAAATTTATTATATTATATTTGATACTCAAACATTTATTAAATATAAAATAGTTTAACATCGATATGCATACAATATACAAAACAAATAACGAAAAGAGACTAATTATACTCATTTTTATAACTTAAAAAAATAAATTCGACATATCAAAAACTTGTCTAGACCGTAAAGTATGGTAAAAACATTCATAATTAATTAAATATTTATATATACTACTTGATAGAACCAAAAATTGATAAATTTGACACAAAATATATACTGTGGGTACCATGAAATATACTAGAAAATTTTAAAAATATATAATTAATAATTTGTAAACAAATTTCAGGGTGGGTCCATGCCCCCTTGGTCCACTAGTGGCGCTGCCACTCTTCTCTGTCTCTGATTTTGACATTGAATTTTGAATTTGATTCAATTAAAAAAAAAAAAATTATCGCGATTTTGATTTTATTTTTATTTGGAATTTATTTTTTATTATCAATTTGATTTTTGATTTTCATTCTGATTTATGGTAAAGAAAATAGGAAATTGAGGTGTTTGGATAGAAAGTTGTGTGTGGAGGTTGATTTTTTGGTGGGGTGATGAACAATGGTTATAGCTAATTAGAATTTTTTTTGTGTGGCTGATGTGAATGTACGAAGAATGCTAGAGTTGGCAATGGTTAGACTGCTGGAGGTGATGAAGATGGTGGGAATGTTGATTGGGCTGCTGGAGATGATGAAGAGGATGAAGATGACAATTTTGGGGCTATTTTTGTTTTTTTAATTAAAAATAAAGGGTATTAAGGTCATTATATTTTCACTATTAACAGGGTTAAGTGTTTGTTTTAGTCCAACAACCGTATGGGATTATGTGCTATTTTTAGACCTAAGGAGAGTTATGTACAAACAAGGTAAACCACAATGGGTAAAATGAAGTTTTCTCTATTCTAAATTGTCCCCTAAATATTCAATATCTTAATTTGGCCCTATAAGGCTATAAGGCCTTCTCCGACTCAAATTTAAGAATTTGNACGAGCCACGAAGCTGTAGATCAAGGACTGTTGACTCATTTCTTCTCACCCAACCAAAAACCCTAACCCTAAAACAGAAAAAAAAAAAATTGTATTGCACACCAAAACGAAAATTAGAGAGAGGAATTGAAGAAGATCATGGAGAGAGACGTTTGACAAAAAAAATAAAAGAGGTGTTTATGAAAAGAAGAGAGAGAAAGACAGTGTTGAATATAGATAAGAACTGTTTCTGTACGTATCGGTCGATCTGAATTTCAAATTTTGTAACTTGGATCAAATTAAATCCTGCCCGTTAAATTATTTTAATGGGAAAACCCTGATTGCAGATAACCCCCCTGGTGTCTGAAAATAGCAGATAACCTTTATATAGTTGTTGGATTAAAAAACACCATCAACTTTGTAATCCAATTTAGCAATGGTTTGTATACCTCGCACGCCTACTATGCATTTTATAATTTATTCTATAATATAAAATAGGATAAATTTTAATAATAATATTCAACGATTTCAAATAAATTCATCCAACGACTACTAATATTTCTATTAAAATTTTACCATACTTTTAAACACGAGTTACCATAATTTAATATAAACAAAGCACGTTAAAAGTTTAAAAATACCCTCAAGTTGTAATATAAATGACTGCTATAGCTACCTAATTTGATGAATCTAGTCTTTTTTTTTTTTTTTTTTTCGATTCACCTCTCTCTTTTTGTTCTTCTCTCGCTTTTCTGTCAGGCACAAAACCAAAATTTTATTTAGAATGGGCTCTTTAATTATAAATTTAATTTTTTTCACTTGAAAAAAGTAATATAACACATTTAAATTTATTATATTATATTTGATACTCAAACATTTATTAAATATAAAATAGTTTAACATCGATATGCATACAATATACAAAACAAATAACAAAAAGAGACTAATTATACTCATTTTTATAACTTAAAAAAATAAATTCGACATATCGAAAACTTGTCTAGACCGTAAAGTATGGTAAAAACATTCATAATTAATTAAATATTTATATATACTACTTGATAGAACCAAAAGTTAATAAATTTGACACAAAATATATACTGTGGGTACCATGAAATATACTAGAAAATTTTAAAAATATATAATTAATAATTTGTAAACAAATTTCAGGGTGGGTCCATGCCCCCTTGGTCCACTAGTGGCGCTGCCACTCTTCTCTGTCTCTGATTTTGACATTGAATTTTGAATTTGATTCAATTAAAAAAAAAAAAATTATCGCGATTTTGATTTTATTTTTATTTGGAATTTATTTTTTATTATCAATTTGATTTTTGATTTTCATTCTGATTTATGGTAAAGAAAATAGGAAATTGAGGTGTTTGGATAGAAAGTTGTGTGTGGAGGTTGATTTTTTGGTGGGGTGATGAACAATGGTTATAGCTAATTAGAATTTTTTTTGTGTGGCTGATGTGAATGTACGAAGAATGCTAGAGTTGGCAATGGTTAGACTGCTGGAGGTGATGAAGATGGTGGGAATGTTGATTGGGCTGCTGGAGATGATGAAGAGGATGAAGATGACAATTTTGGGGCTATTTTTGTTTTTTTAATTAAAAATAAAGGGTATTAAGGTCATTATATTTTCACTATTAACAGGGTTAAGTGTTTGTTTTAGTCCAACAACCGTATGGGATTATGTGCTATTTTTAGACCTAAGGAGAGTTATGTACAAACAAGGTAAACCACAATGGGTAAAATGAAGTTTTCTCTATTCTAAATTGTCCCCTAAATATTCAATATCTTAATTTGGCCCTATAAGGCTATAAGGCCTTCTCCGACTCAAATTTAAGAATTTGGGCCAATATTTGAATAAAAAATTTGATTTGATATAAATCACTTTAATGAAGAAATTCAAAGGTAATAGAGGACAAACCCAAATTTAACTAATGACAAACCGAAATTTTAAAAAGTATAGAATATAACCATTAGATCCTTAAAGGAAGGTAAAATTTGACTATTCAAGATTTGTGTTTCTCTTGATTTGAATAAAAATTTAAGTATTTCTTCATTTGATATAAGTTTGAATAAAGGGAAGTTTGAATAAAGGACCCGAAGTTATTTTTAACCAGCTTTTACTCAAATTTAAATTTAAATAAGGGTTTGCGTAAGAAATAGAGATAATAAGGGCATCTCCAATAATACTTTTTGTTTCAAATAGTATCTTTGATAAAATTTAGAAATAAAGAGTGAACTATTTTAGACAACTCTAATGACTTTTCTATTTTAGTAGAAAATTAATCTTATAGTCAATAGCATTTAGTTAAGAATGTATAGTATCATATTTTCTTTCATTAAAAATATAATAGAGAGTGATGGTTTGCTCTCCAAATGTAGAGAGCTTATTGAAACTTGATTTTTGATGATTTTCTCTCAAAAATAGAGAGTTAAATGAGAATAAAAGGTCTATTAGAGATACTCTTCTTACAAAATTTATATGTATTATACACACAAGTGTAAAGTGAATCAGTTAGACAAATTAATTAGGGCTGATTTAACAGGGAAATAAAGAAGAAAAAAAAATACTAGGCTTCTGCTCCTCAATTAAAGGTTCCATGGATATAAATATAGGGTATGAGAGCTATGTGACTTTGAAAGAATTAATGACAATGTGCAAAAGGATAACAAAAAACGGTGCGGTTATTCTCACCCTACAAATATTTATTCTCACCCATTAAAATTTTTAGAATCAAACTATTAAGTCCATCACTTTTATACTCACCACATTTTAACTAAGTCCAACTCATGCTATCCACATCCTTTTAATAACAAGTCCACTTTGTATTTTCTCAAAACTAGGACTTCATTCATTATTTTTTCTTATATATCATATACGAAAATGGTTTTTAAATATGAATTTTCCTAATGAGATGCATGTTAATATTATTTTTTGATTTAACTTTTTTGTTAGATTTCATGTTTACTGTGTGATTTCATGTTTGATTATGTTTAAGTTTAATTATTTTTGATTTAGGTTTTTTATATGTGTGTGTGAGTGTGTTAATTATATATATATACACACACGTTTGCAATAAGAAGGAAAAAGAAACATTTTAAATTCTTGTGTTGACTATTTATAGTTGTACATATAATTTTTTGGACAGTTAATCTAATAGATATTGTTTTGACAGAAATTAGAATCATCTTGAATAATTCATAAATACAGAAAGT